CACTTCAACGGTGTTAGAAGCTAAGTATAGCTACTGCTACTCCGTTTAGAACGGGGCGCGGCCCAGCCAACTCTGGCTTCCAGCAGCGTCCACACACCCCCTTCCACCGGGTGTCGTTTACCACCGGTAGACACCGAGGTGTTTGCGGGCGATTATCTTCGTTGGCCCACGTTTAGAGACCTTTTCACGGCGGTATATATTCATAACCCTCGTCTCACCCCGGTGGAGAAATTGTTCCACCTACTCTCCAAAACCACTGGCGAAGCGCACGCCATTGTTTCCAAGGCCCCCTCACCAATGAAGGTTTCGTCTCGGCGTGGCGAAGCCTCATTGACCGCTTCGAAAATCGAAGATTATTAGTTAACAGCCAGTTGAAAATCCTCTTCAACATCCAGGCTGTCCCTCAAGAATCGGGAGTCTCGCTGAAAGAGCTGCAAGGCACCATCCAAAGCTGCCTGACCGCCCTAGAGAGGTCCTCCATACAAGTTGAGGCTTGGGATTGTCTTTTGGTGTATATGGTTTCCTCAAAGCTTCCCAAAGTAACCCTTTCTCTGTGGGAACAATCCATCCACAACAAAGACAGAATTCCGACTTGGAACGAGCTAGACGCGTTTCTGACCGAACGCCATCGTACGCTGGAGGCCATCGACGATGTTACGCCTACCAGCTCACGGCATTTTCCGCCAAAGTTGGCGACTCCGAGGGCCCCAGCGCCCCGGCTATATTCTTCCGACTGCAGGGTGACTCCAACACCCAGAAGGTGTGACCTGTGTTCCAGGGAAAACCACCCCCTGCGAAGATGTCCCCGATTCCTCAAAATGACCGTAGTCGAGCGATCAAATGTCGTCCGAAGAAAGCAACTCTGCTTGAATTGTTTGGCACGAGGTTATCAGCAGCGGGATTGCCCCAGTGTCAACTCCTGCCTTACATGCCGCAAACGGCATCACACCCTGCTGCATCCCAGAAACTGTTCCTCCAGTGTTCAGATTGCTCCTGAACCTTCCAGCCCAGTAACCGCACCGATCCAAAGGATATCCACGTTCTCCACGCAAATCACTTCTCCCAACGCCTTAAATTACTGGGTACCCTACGACATCAAGAGCATACGTTCCCGAGGTAATTTATCCTACCCATGCCGAGTCTGCAGCGGAGTCCATCCGCTTCGAAAATGCCACAAGTTCCTCAGGCTTAGTGGTAAGAAGAGGCTCAGCGCGGTGTCCACCAACCGCTACTGTTCGAACTGTTTTGCCCACGAACATTCCCAAGGCAAGTGCCGCAGTGGTGACCGATGCAAGACGTGCAATCAGCTTCACCACACGCTCCTGCATATGCCTGGAAGTCCAATTCCCGCACCCCGATCACAGCATCGGATGACTCCGTGCTCCCAATTCGCGTTATTTACTGACCGCTCTTCTAAATGATATATTTTTTCCAGTCCGCTTCGAGAAGATGCCACCGCTTCGCACCACGCGAACGCTCTGATCAGACGTCCGATCCAACCGATTCCGAGGTTGCCACCGAACTTCATCCGCTACCGACGTCGACGTCATCTCTAGAATCCTGCGTCTCTCCCCGGTCCTCCTCAGCCACTCCACCGCCTTCGTCCACCGATCCTCCGCTGCACTCCGGTGCGAACAGGCAATTTCCGCCGCTAGCCAGGACACCCTGAAGAAAGCGGCAGTGCTAGACAGGACGAATATGTTGCAACCCGAGTGATTGCAAGGAGGCCCTTCGCGGCGCCGCCTCTGCCCACCGAGATTCCAAAGTTTTGTCGCTCTTGCACTCCCGCAAGTCGGCTCTTGGCGCACTACTCATCGGGCCAGTCTAAGCGCTCCCGCGCCCACTCTTCGAAGTTCGCGAACTCCCGCTCCCGAATTCCCGATCTTCGCTCGCTGCTAAGCGAGCTGAGGGAAGGCTAGTTCGCGCTCCACTTCGCGGGCCCGCTCTCGCACTGTTAAGCTTAGCTTATCGGTCGGGAGCGCAGCCCTTACGTTTAAGCTAATTAGTCTTATGTATGCAGCGAAATAAAGCTGACTACATTTTCCAGGATCTTTAGTGGCAGGATCGCCCCCCTACAAACACAGAGTTAGCCCTTTTTTCGCACAGTCCGCTGCTCTCTTACTAGTACCTACATACCATTTATCCACTTAGCCGCGGTTAACCATTTTACCAACTTGACGGACAGAACTGCACCACTTAGCTCCATCCTAGGTGTGGTCAAGGGTTTCGTAGGAGTAACCTTTGACTTTGAGGTCAACAAAGAGGCGTAGCACATTCCATCCTTGTGCTCGAGCCTTAGATCAGTCGCAGCTGCATAGGATGTTGAAGACCCGTCACAAAACGTGTGAACCTGAGCCGAAACTATGGCTCCAGGAGAATAATGAATCCAGTGCTGTATACTTATATCGCCGATCCTAAGCAAGCCGTTCCGAAATCCTTGCCACCATTCCGAAAGCGCATTAGGAACCTTTGCGTCACAATCCAGAGTTGTCAAAGTTCAGTGTTAACTTTCCCGAGATTAGGACCGGAGCGATGAGACCCAGGGGGTGAAACATTCTTGCTATGCACGAGCAGATGATCATTTTAGTAAAATTAGTAACTATCTCAAAATTGACTCGGGATTTGAATCGGTCCTTATTTGGGAGCCAATACATTCCAAGCGCCTTGGTAGGATCCGTAGTGTCTCAATTTAATGGTGTCTGACTGAACTGATGCTCTAACGAAACAGAGAGCAGAATACTCGCTTCGTTGCTGGACCATTCTCATTATTATCTCATTCATCAATACATCTTCTTCCTTATGTTAGGAAATAAATGCTGCTGAATGGCCCTGATGGCCGTAAAAAGCCGCAAAAGCCGTTCTTGCTAACGTCGCCGTGAAAACGAAGCGATATTTCTGCAAATTGAGTATGACTCATGTCATGTCGACATGTCGTTTTGAAGGGTAGGCCCAGTCCAAAGAATGTCATTTAAGGACCTTCCGTTGCTAGTCCTTGAGGAGACATCGAAGACGATTCGTTGTTTTATCGACTGAGGCTCCTTCTTAAAGACAATGTGATGTGGAAGTACACAAGAGGTTACATGCATATTTGTAAAAGTATTCCTTGCTGAACTGCTTTCATTGCCCACAGCAGCCACTAATTGCTCGAGCGCGAAGTATTTCTCGATCTCCTCCACATATTTGCTCCACCGTTTTGGGCTGCCAGACAGATGCCCTTCCAATTGTAGGAACTGATTAAGTGTCACTTGACGAGATCTTCCTAGACCCATGGCTGCATCCAGATAGGTTTTAAAGGGAACTGCACTACATAGCGGCCATCCGCTCGACGCACGTAAGTCTTCTGAAAATAGGACTCGCACCAGAGGCCCCCCTTCTTTACCGTTGGGCGGTCTGGAACTGACTTGACCTCACAGAAGCGCTTCAACAATGCCTCGTTTGGTTCTCTCACTCCTTCAGCACGTCCAGATAGGATCCATCCGAAGACCGTATTCTGAGCTATAGGCTCGCCGGGCATTCCGATCCTGGTGTCTGGTAATATGATTTGCGAACATGTCCACGCGAGATCGACTCGCTTTGACCGGGAGTAGTGAGAATCTGCCAAAGAGAGCCCTCAAATATGATCCAAACGCTGAAGCGTGAAGCTAAGACTCAATCTACTTTTAAAGAAAAGGTTGGCTTAATTGGGTGTCAGCTTGCTTCAGATGCAGAGACTCTACGACGTGTTCCTATACTATGGTTGGCTCAAATCCTTGATCAATGAGAGCATTAATGATGGCTTGTAGCCCGTTGACATGGTATGGTACGGTGTTACGAGAAGTGGATTGAATCACATTCCTCAAAGAGACATTCGACGAAGTTTTAATCCGACATTAACCGCAGGCTCTGTTGAGATATGTTCTCCATGGCCGCGGGAGCACTAAGATGCGGCATTGAAGTCCGGACCGGCTGCATCGATGCGTGACTCGGCGGTTGGTTATGAACCATTACTGGCAGCTTTTATTGCCGGTGCAGGGTCCCGAAAACAACTTGTGCACTTACTCAGTTTGCGCACCAGATTCCACCACAAAGAAGCAGCTAACTTCTCAAAAGTTCCTCGACCTGCGTCTTCTTTCCCGTGCGTTTCGAAAATTACGAAAACCGCCGTTTCTATGCCTATGTATCGCTGTCCTCTTTTTAGGCAATTCGCCGAGCCGACTTACAAAAGAACGCGGCCTCGATATTTTGCGGAATCTATTTACACACTAGCTTGTCAAATTTAAAGGTTTGCACTTGCAGGTTCCCCTCATGAGCCACCATGAATAGTTATGTTCCTTACATACCTAATAAAAGGTAATTGTAAGAGGGGTTCCCAGGCAAGATCAAAATCGGATCGAATAAATTCAAGCTTTATAATGAATGCAAAATAACGTTAGACCGGCGGAGTGCGCTACCCGCTGCTCTCCCGCACAATAGGACTTGCGACAACGACGAACACCACCCTTGGCTTATATCATAAAATACATAGTTTCCTGCTCTACCTCGTGACAGGCCTTGCAGCAGTAGTGCATATTTTTTCTTCGTCGTCCGTGTTGTCACACAGCCGGCAGCCGATTGTAAGGTCACCTGCATTAATGGGCTTCCTCAGGTCTTGGGAAAGCATCCAATATCATGAGTCATTTTTACTTACCACTGTACATCTAACGTGCGAAGATAATGGGCTCTCTCTTCACAAGATAGATAAGATAAGAAGTGCAGCGTCACAAAGAGAGCGATTATGCAAAGTTCAACACAGATCGAGAGCATAATGAAAAAATCACGTTCGTCCACTTCGAAAGATTATTAAATCATTCATGAAATTTTTTATACACATGCATACATTGGGTTACTTTTTAAGCTATCTAAAATCAGCTTCTTTAAGTTTGTATACTTTTAATTTAATATTAAACAGCATTTTAAAATTTTTTTTGTATGTTTGCAAACTTTTGTAAGTGACCCTAAAATTTTGAATTTATTTCTTATAGATTACAGGATTCCGACCTTGGTTTTCAGCTAATTGTGGATCGACGAAAAGACAGGTGGACTTCAGTAAAGACAGTTTTACAGAAAATATCGGTAATAACCATATACCGTCATGATTATAGAATTTTATTATATTAATATATTTATTAAGGCTTACTTTCCGGGTATTCTTAATGCTGTATATGTTCTTCGGCCTTCTGGCTTGTTTCAAAAGGCTTTATCTGAAGTAAGCAGCAAGTTTTCAAAACAGGATTATAAATTTCGGCTTGTAGTTTGCTCTACACTTTCTGATTTATACGAATTAATCGATATCAATGAATTAACGCCAGACATGGGTGGTGCATTAATCTACTCCCATCACGAATGGATACAACAAAGAATGGTAAGTATATTATAAAACAATGATACAAATTATGCTTACAATGTAGATTTGATGTAGTGCTTGCTGGATCGGGGTCAGGGAGCATTTGAAATAGGTAGGTTATGTTAAAGCGGAAGGCCCTCGTGGGAGGCTCTTAGTAATCCAGATGTAATTTGTATGGACCTGGAGATTTTAAGAGGTTTTAAAGTCCTTGAAGATGAAGGTGTTTTTGGCGAAGACAATCAGTTCTGGCTTGGGTTAGTCATCGCACTTCCTACAGTTGCTATTGTCGGTGATACCTAGCTTGATTGCAAGTGTCAGCCAGTTACCTGTGAGAATTTCCACTAACAGTGCAGTCATTCTGTGGTAGATGCAGCATATAATGGCTCAGTTTATCATTACGGTGTTTGCACATGATTTTAGAACTATTTCAGATTGTTGAACTTTCCATCTGCTTTATGCTTGTTTGCCCGTATCTTCAACTCGCATTGGAGCGTTCTTAGGATCATGAAGACGTTTTCTGCTTTGTCACTCGTCAGTCCGACGCCATCCTTCGCAAGTACGTCAGCGGTCTTGTTGCCATTGATGCCCTGGTGGCTGGAAACCCAATATATACACACCAATGTTGTCGAGCTTATGATGTGCCTCCCTGCGTGCCAGTATATTTTTGGAACTAGCTGTTGTCGTTTTCGCAGCTTGATTGTCTACCGACAGGTTTACCGCCCCATGTGGATGGTCTATTCTCTGCGCAAGGTATGCTGCTTACCTGATGGGGAACACTTTCACCTGAAATATTCTGAATTGGCTTGGTAGCTTATTCGACAGTCTCATCTCAGGGTATGTAAAATATATATCCGCTTCAACTCCTTCTGTTTTTAAGTCATCGGTGTATATGTTGATGTATTAAGTAAGGTCCTTAGCAATTTTCCAGTCTCTTGTTAGTTGGTTTTCAATATCAGATTGCTCTCCAGTACAGTACCGAGGTAGCCATAGCGGCACCTTCTATTTATTGGTAAAGAGAAGTAGGTCCGTCTTGTTCCCTGAACGTTGGTTCGCGCTGAGGGTCGATGGACAGACACCCGTAATAATTAAGCTAACATCGTGTTATTTTTGGAAGCTTCCTCTCGAACCTCTTAAAAAGGCCGTCAAATACTAGATCCCATAGGAGGGGCGATAGAACTTCACCTTGCGAAGTGCCTCTGTGTGCTCCTTTCACCATGAAAAAGGGGGACCCGAATCACGTTGTAAAGCCCTACAACATAGTAGATTTTGTATCCTGTAGTTGATGGCGGGGTGCGTGTTGGTCGTATCTAGGCGGTCTATTCTTGCGACTGTGCGAACGTTGTTAAATCAGGCGTCATAGAGCAGGACTCTTTAAATGATGTCTACTAACTAATATAGTGCAGTCTCCACTGATTTCCCTTTTGTGTAGACATGTTGGTTGGTTGACAGTATTTTACCTTCATCGTTAATGATATATAGGTCAAACAGCTTTTTAAACGTCTTGAGTAAGAATAAGGAAAAGCTTATCAGACTGTAATCCATAAGACTCTCATGGCTGCACTTTCCTGCTTTAAACTCGACGAAAATCCGAGGGATTCTACATTGAAAAAGGATATTGCCCGAGCTTAGGCAAGCTGTGTAAATTGCGTAGAGCCATGCGGTGATGACTTCTTTGGCAGCCTGAAGCACGACTGGGAACATTCCGTCTAGTCTCAGTTCTTTTATCCCCGCGAAGGAGTCTATAGTAAGTAAATTCTTCTAGAGGATTTAAGATCTGTTGAAAGATGCTCTTCTTCAGTTTCTAGTTCTCGTAGGATTCGGTGATCTTTTTACATCCTAGAAAGTGCGCGTGCTTCAGTGCTTCGCTTCCCTCAGTCCATTGTCCGTCGTTGCGTTTGAGTTGACTTTGTATGGTAGGTTGCTTCGATAGCAAATTCCGTTGTCTAGCCGTTTCTGTTGCCGAGGTTTCTCCACGAGTTTTTTTGGCGCTCAGCATATTTTCTTCTTATAATCTCTCAGTAGAAATTTTTTTTCTACTACGGTGGTGTGGTTCTCTTCTTAGTTCTCAATATCGGGCATGATACGTGGTACGCGTCTAGGAATTCCTTAAAGAGGGTCTCTACGGACGTTCCTATTTTTTCCGATGATCTTACCGAGCCCGGACAAGTCGCTAGACTTTTTAAACTTTCCCCAGTTAGTATTCTACGTGTTTCTAAAGACGGTTAGTTTTGGAGAGTGTTCGAATTTGTATTGGAACTGTATATACTTGTGGTCTAAGACGCATGGTATTTCAAGGACTCTCTATTCTAATAACATTGTACCTTCTCCCGCTACAAGTGTTTTTTCTAGCAACTTTGAGTAGGTGGGACCAACGATCCTGTGCTCCTTCCCTTCGCTTGCCACATGTAAGTTAGTGGGGAGTATATTGTAACTTACCTCTGTCATTTCTGTCGGAGCTCCCCTACACACGACCAGTTCCTGTTTTTTGACCTGGCTTCTACTAGGCTCCTGAGTTTTCCGGGAGGGCGTCCTGTCGAGTGCCATGTAGCACAAAGCTGATAGGAGGCGTTTCCTCTTACTCTCCAGCATCTCCACAGTTTGATCGTCATTGCTGAAATATAGGCATAAGGTTAGCGTGCAGACCCTTCTGTACGATTCGGGCAGTTAAGTTCTTGCTTACCAATTGCGGATAAAACACAACCTGGTTGAAGCCGGAGATCCTCTGCTCCAAAATTATTCCGGGTAAATAGCCAATTTATAGATAAGTGCTGCTTTTACAGCAAGGAGATGGAGAAATAACAACGTAATATAATAATTTAATTATTGTAAGGTAACTCGATTCTATAGGCTTTAGGCGAGTTATCTCGGAACTCGAAAGGTTTTACTTAAAAATGCTCCTCCAATCTCTCGTCCCACAAGGTAGCCACCTTGATCCACTGCTATTCACATTGTTTATTAATGACCTGCCGCTGGTTCTAACGAAATCCAGAGTAATGTGCGTGCAGTACAGGCAGAGTTCATGCCAGTCAGACTTCCACATGACTCTTAACAACTTTATAGCGTGTTGCTAACTCTTTACATCTCAAATGCTCTAAAAGCAAATTTATGACATTTTCACGAGTTACTTCCCTGTTTGCCACTTATATGCTAAACGACTGCGCTTTGGAAAGATCCCTTGTTGATGATCTAGGTGTCCGACTAGATCCTAAACGTTTGTTCTCCGTTCATATTTCTTGCACTTTTTCCTGTTTGCCCTCCGAGGTTTAACCTAGGATGTTGACTTAAGATGCTCTATTCGACTTCTTCTAATTAATTTTCCCTCCCTAGCAAGCCGTAGGACGATGCTTGGCGTAGTCTTTCTACACTATCTTATTCACGGGGATGTGCTGCAAGCGCAGCGGGCCAGAGGGGTTGTGGGGCATTGAAAAATGCCGACCGCAGCTTCGCCTCAAAACTGCGGCAAGGCAACTAACGAAACAGGATATCCTGGCCCTGGGAAGGCTCCGTATAGATACAGCTGGATAAGACCGTCAGCTGCGAACCTAGAAGTCTTTGGGCACGGGTCTCGTTAGTCTCCTGATTTGAGGGTAAGGTGTTTAAAGACTTGCCCAGGTCCGCCCGACTACAATTGGTCAGAATTCCCAGTCAAATCCTGGTCCTGCTTCCAGCTGTCCTCACTTGGAGAGTAAAGACGCACCACCGATGGTGCACACAGTTACGTCAGATGACTCGGTCATCCGTTGAGCGCTATCGGCTGACCGCCCTTTAATTCTGGACTTCTAGACCTTACCAGGGGAACACTTTTTCCTTTCTTTGGGTTTATTGTTGGAAGTTTGTTAAAATTCTTTAAGATATATATTATACTATTCTTGCTTACCACAATTCGATATATTTGGCCATAAATAGTTGTATAATTATGGGCGGACTTTCTCTGGAAGAGCTATGAACAGGGAATGTGTGATATAACTACCTTTTAAATATATATATTTGCATACCCTTGCAGGGAATTATAATTTCAGTCAGAAGTTTGCAACGCAGTGAAGGAGGCACCTCCGACCATATAAAGTATATCAAGTCTGTCTGTCTATCCTTCTGTCCGTCTGTTCGTCTGTCCTTTTTTAACCAAACAAGCCTCTCCGTTAATCTTGTAAATACTCTCACACGTGTATATGGCGGAACAGGCTGGATCGGCAGACTATATCACATTTCTAGAAAATGAATTATAAATTTTCCAGTTTTTAACAGATTTGCGTATAATTTGAAATATATAAGTTTTGTAATATTCTAGAATTTTGATTTTATTTTTATATTAAGTCATAAAGCTGCTTAGGAACGGTCGGAAATTGTTTAGAATAAAGTATAACTGCTCCAGTTTTTAACAAATTTGTATATTGGTTGAAGTAAAGCAGTCTTGTAATATTTTAGAATTTCGGTTAAAATTTTTTTTAATTGGACGATTATATCATCTAGCTGCCAAAGGAACGATCGAAAAATTTTAATAAAAAAATATAACTTTTTCAGTTTTCAACAAGTTTTTATCAAATTTACAATAAAGCCATTTTATATTATTTTAAAAATTAAAAACTACTAAATCATATAGCTGCCATAGGACCGATCGAGAAATTAATACAATTAAAAATTAAAACATTTTCATCAATTTTTAGATGTAGCCCTTTTATATTATTTCAGAATTTCGGTTTTAATTTTATGAAAATATATCATATAGCTGCCATACAAACGATCGTTAGATATAAAGAAAAAATGCAAAACTGTGGACCCAAAACTGTTAATATTTATATATATAGGTAAAAGAAATTAATTTCTTCATTGGTTTTTAACATAAATATATAAAAATAATGTGTATTGCATTAATTTATAGTGATTGAAGTTCTATTTGCAAGACTATATAAACTTCGGCGAGCCGAAGATAGCTACCTTTCTTGTTATGTGTGAATTTATTTGCTATTACGCTGTTTTTTTAATATATTCGATGTGTTCAGGCATTAGAAAAGTTCTCCAGCTTAACGCACAAGGTCTCCGGAGAATTAGATTTATTTTTACAAGCCTTACACGATATAGAACCTCCAAATTCTGTGGAAACTACGAGAAAGCTGTTAGATAGTCGATCCATCGAGTATGATCGGCTGAAGGTAATTTTGTTATTTTTCTTTGATGATTTGCAAACTAAAAAGTATTTCTTTTAGATGGAAATACTTACGGCAGCTAAACACGGAGAAACACTTCTTAATAATATTAAATCTATTGAAGAATACAGAGAATTCTCTGAGCGCACCGGTAATATAAGCGCCATTGAAAGGTATGTAAATATTTTGATAAATAATGATAAAAGTCGTGAGTGCTTAATTTTTAGTTGGTTCAATTTTCCACTGCCACCAAAACAATTTTCAAGTTATGTTAATTAAAAACAAATGATATTATTAAAGTGAATATTTGGTAGGCAGTAAGAGCGGAAGCTTCCCTCTAAATTCGAAGAATATTCAGATTGACCTTTATTAAAAGAATTCGAAAATAGCTGTCTGAAGTATTTTACACAAGTTTTTCGAGGCAACATGAACATTACTATACTGATAATATCATTTTTAAGCACCTTTTTTTAATTGACTATTGCATTTTATTTAAGGATCTAAAAATGCTTAAATAATAAAAAGTTTAACAAAAGCCGCCAAATTCAAGCCAGTTCAGAACACGAGAATCTGCGAATTCCCACATAAGACTCGACTGCGAAATTATGAGAACTTTTCACAGCCAGGATACTTTGTCTTTCTGTGCACCCCTTTTCCACTCTTTTCTTCTTATGACCGCTCGCCTACAATCAGCAAGAATAAAATGTTACGAAATATCCAAAAATACGTGTGACGAGGAACTTTGCACAGCCGGTTTCGAGACAGCCAAACCTATTAAAAAGATTCTCTCAACCCGAAGGTCGTAGGCACAGAGAGAAAGAGAATCACCGCGCTAGACGAATTTGGACCAGTCGCTCTACATTAAGCTCGAACAAAAGTTCGAGCAGAAATTCGAGCAATTGTGGACGACTTTTGAGAAGACTATACTCTAGAAACAAGGGAATCCAGTCGAGGCGCTTTCGCCACTGCGTCCCGCAAGTACGGAGCGAGTTAAATTCTGCAAGCACCCCGCTCGTAGCTGAAGCATCCTACGCATACTCTTTCGCGGCGGGTGTGTACCCAGAGAAAGACCGGTCCCAGAGCAGCTTCAACTACTGCAGCCTGCAACCTAAGTTTCCATTGAGGAATTCTTGAAGAGTCGGACGTGATATTACCTTTCACAGCACACACCCCTGGCCTAAAATTTAGCGCGTCACTCCGCCACCGTTATGCTCGAATCTTGCACGATCAGTAAATATATCGGCTATCACGCCTTCCATAATCGGATACAAGGGCCCCGAGAGTCCTTAGAGGACATGCAATGAACCAGAACGTCAGTCGATCGCGACATATAACAGCATCATGGTTCAACGCTTCATTCACGAGATCCGAGAGTCGGTTACCAGGTCCCTATCATAAGCAGCATTCCGCAATGAAAGTCAGATGCCCACGACATGACGTGCTGCATTGACGCCCAGCTGCCGCCGTAATGACTATCGCCACCGTAATCGTAGCCAACCCCATCGGCGCACCCAGAAGAGGAAACTAAAGATCCGGAAGCGGACAGCCAACTTCAAAAGCCTCAGTCAGCATCTGCTCACTGCGTCTTCCGCTTTACTTCACTTACGGGTTACTGGAACGGATTTCTACCTCGCAGCACCTCGTCTCGAAGCCGCCGCTCACTGAACTACTTAGCGCCCGCCAGAGTCTTCCTCCCAATGGAGTCGAAGCCTGGCCTTTTTGCTCTTACCGCCGCTGCTCGAAGAGAGCGCCGATCCGATTTGGAGTTTGCGGCCATCCGGAACGCCGCCACATTACGCCGACCGATACGGTTTTCGAGCACCCCCAAACCAAAAGCTGCTGAAACGAGCCCCCCCCCCCCCCTTCAAAAGAAGCGCAGGTCGTCCGGTCACAGCTGTTTCAGGAGCCGCATCCGGCGAGATCGCTTGTAAATCGCCGCTTTGGTCAAATGGTTCAATTTCAACTGCCGCCGCCACAGAGTCCTACATAACAGTATAGTACAAAGGAATCGGATCGATTCTAGTGGATTTCGCCTCGGAGCGATTGTTTGCCAAACGTCTATCTACAGGGAAATAAAAGACAACTGGTCGTGGCCACCGCTCTTGTTAACACCGCACTTGCCGATGCCGATCAATCACAAGTTCTTGCTGCGGAGGGCAGCACATTTCTTGGGCTTTGAACTTTCTGCTGCGCTATGAGGCCACCGTGGATTTGAAGGATTTTCAGCTTCCGTGGGGATATCTGGCGCTATATGTTCCGAATTCTCATCAGCTAAATTTGCTTTATCCGACTGCACCCACCAGTATTCTGCCATATAGTGACACCTAAATAATAGATCGATGCAGGTCGGAGGAACAGCTTGTGCTGGCCCTACTGGAACGTGGAACGAGTTCTCAATGTTTCACTAGGCAACACCTTGGTAAACACCTCAAGCGCCACCAATGCCCTGCACCAAAAAAAGCTCAGCGCGCAGGAATACATGCTAACCGCGCAAACGATAGTGGGACAAGTGGAATCAGTGAAGCTGCTCGTTTTTGCGCTGGACGACACAAGGACCGCATTTGCAAGTCCACCTTTACTCAAAATAGATGGCACTACCCGACGGCTTCCATCGACTAATTGTCCGACGCTACGACGGGGTGTACCGATCTATACCGGCTTGGCATAGACACGGATAAGCAACTAGTGCGTCGCCTAACGCTGGTCAGGAAGGGTTACGAGGTAAGGTGGACGAGGATTCTAAACCTAAGACAGCGGTGTTGGTCTGTTTGAATTTAAAGTGCCGATTGGCTTGACCATCCTGGGTCCCCTGTCCATTACAGGACTCGGGAACCGCTACATCGCTATAATGTCCGGAATGCATACCGCTGCCTAATCAAACTAGATTGAGCTGGAAGACATCTTTGTTCTTGGCAGCGAGAATCGCTCATCCACTGAGCCAAGCTCAAGGTCAATCTCTGGAGTTGTGTGGTGTAGATTTGGATGCAGATTGTTTTTCACACGAACAATTATATGTTGCGTGTTCCCGTGTCGGAAAACCAGATAGTCTTTATATTTACGCGGAGAATGGAGAAACGAAGAATATTGCATACCCAAAAGTATTACAGAATTAAATGAATTTGAAAATTATTATTTTTTGTCTGACTTATTTCTTATGCGTGCAACCACAATATGTATATATATATATATAAATACTCTGTTCGTGTCTACTCCCTTTATAGACTTGAAAAGTTCTGAACCGTTTAAGCCCAAATTTTGACACAACATGCGTTGAGGTTCTAGCTCGGTTATTGTCTACTTTTGATGTTTTTTTTTCGCGTTTCCCAGTGCCCCTACTGGTGCGCCCTCTACAAGCAGCCAGCTGAATCGAAGCAATTCCTGTCAAACATTCAAAACATATTGAAAGAAGAAATTGGAGATTAAAATTTTTTTTTTTTGTTCAGTAAGAAACGAAGTAATGCCACCCAAGAAGTCGAGTTTGGGTCGTCGTACTCACAATACAGAAGCAAAAAGGCGTAAGATTACGAATATGACTGACTGAAGAGTAGGCCTCCTTCCGCGAGACTGAGCGGCTGAGAGCAATGCAGATGCACAACGAGGAATCAGCAGAAATACGAGCAGATAGGCTTGAGAGAAAACGATTGAGAGTTAGGCAGTTGCGTTCTGCAGCAATCGATTTGATTCACTCTCAAAATAATGAACGCGACAGGGCAAGGGTAGCTGAAGCTTGGATGCTCCAGGAGGAACGGGGAAAACATTCCTCATTACATTGATTCTGGCTACGGTTCGAGCTAACAAGGACATAGCTTTAGCTCTTGCTTCATCTGGAATCGCTGCGACATTGTTACCTGGTGGGAGGACTGCTCATTCAGCGCTGAAGTTGCAGTTGAACATGCAAATCATCGAGACTCCTACGTGCAACATTTCCAGAGTATCTGGCATGTCCAATCATTTCGGAATGCGTTAATATTGTTCGCAGGGGATTTCAGGCAAACGTTGCCTGTGATTTCCCGATCGACACCAGCTGACAAGATAAATGCTTGCCTGAAATATTCTATATTGTGGCAAAATGTACTTATATTACAGTTGAAGACGAATATGCGTGTCCAGTTACAGAACGATGACTCAGCCGACGTATTCTCACGACAGCTACTGGACACGGGGAACGGAAAGCTGCCAGTCAATGAGACGTCGAGAAAAATAGTATTGCCCGAGAATTTCTGTAATTTAGTTACATCGAAGGAAGGACTTATCCAAAAAGTGTTCCCCAATATCCGAATAAATTATAGGAACCACGATTGGCTCAGTGGACGAGCGATTCTCGCTGCCAAGAACAAAGATGTCTACCAGCTCAATCATGTAATCCAATCCAGCATAGAAACTGACGAAATTACATATAAGTCGATAGATACCGTTGTGGAGGCAGAGAAAGCAGTTAATTACCCTACCGAATTTCTAAACTCACTTGATCTGCCTGGAATGCCACCACACATATTGAAATTAAAATAGGTGTGCCGATTATCATGCTCCGGATATAAATCAGCCGAAACTCTGCAACGGTACGCGACTCGCAGTCAAGAAATTGATGAACAACGTAGTAGAAGCAACGAACATAACTGGTCCTTTCAAAGGTGAAGATGTCCTCATTCCTAGGATTCCTCCGATCCGTTCCTGTTCAAGAGATTGCAGTTTCCCATTCGTTTGGCGTTCGCAATGACCATTAATAAAGCTCAAGGTCAATCTCTGGAGTTGTGTGGTGTAGATTTGGATGCAGATTGTTTTTCACACGGACAATTATATGTTGCGTGTTCCCGTGTCGGAAAACCAGATAGTCTTTATATTTACGCGGAGAATGGAGAAACGAAGAATATTGTATACCCACAAGTTTACAGAATTAAATGAATTTGAAAATTATTCTTTTTTGTTTGACCTGTTTCTTATGCATGCAACCACAATATGCCACAGAGAAACGTGGCAGGGTACAGCTAGTTAATATATATAAATCTCGTGTCACAATGTTTGTCCTCAATGGACTCCTAAACCACTTAACCGTTTATAATAAAATTCGCACATTATGTGCAGTTCGATCCAACTTAAGAGATAAGATAGTTTAAATCTCAATTTATAGTCGCAATTTTAATTTATTGCTAATTATTTGTCTGTTATTATCTGA